ATGGACCTCAATAAGTATTACAAATAATCCAACAAATCGCAAAAGATCAAATCATATTGAATTGATCGTAATTAATATAAAATATTAATTTGTCCACAGATAAACCACTAGCAGACATGTTTACCAAACCATTGATGCAAGTGAAATTTGAGAAATTAGAATGGAATTAGGCTTAGTAAATAAGTTAAATGGTTTGATTAGGTTTTTCTGGGTTTTCCCCCAAATGCTGGACCGTTATTGTAATTTTCCCCTGAGAAGATACACATAAGGAAAGCAGGCCTATTTATGTTATACTAGGTTTAAGATGTATTACACTCTTAGTATAATTGATCAAATTTTTGAGGTGGCGTGTTGGATAAACTGATATTCATATCAATGAACAAAAATTAATAAATTAAACTTTGATTATTAGCCTATACTTTGCTATTTTATATCGCAGCTATAGATGACTGAATGTGTTTATAATAGTTTTTATATATAAGATAAACAGATGAGGAATCGTTTACTTAATTAGTGGTGCCGCGAGACGAGACTAGACGAGACTTGGGTTGGTCTCGTCTCGTCTCGACATCCTCGAGACGATACCGTGACCTAGTCTCGAGTACCAAAGTCTCGTCTCGTCTCGAATGGTCTCGTCTGGTCTCGAGTTATACAGGGTGTCCAAAAAATAGCGTAAAAACTCTTCTCTACGTGGTGAAGGACCCTACAAGGAACCCCAGAAAAATACTTTAAAAAATCTAGTGGCATTCTCAAGAAAGTTATTTGCATTTTGATATTTATTAAAATTGGCAACACTGAAAATATCCCGTTGACAATATGTCAGAGAAATAAATTAAATACCCATGTAATTACCTGAAGAATTCGAAGGTGAATTTTCACATCTACCTCTTCATATTACCAAGAATAATGCTGGAGAAGGATTTTTTTAATGTAATAATTTTATTAGGGTTTCTCAAAGGGTCCCCTACTACGTGAAGAGCTTTTACGCTATTTTTCGGACACCCTGTATTTATGGTTTTTATTTTTCTATTATAACGGAAGTTCAAACTGCTACAGTGAAAAAGCAATTAGTGAAAAATCCCAGTAAAGAGTAACCATGATATTTAATTTACTGATTTCATATTCAAATAGCCCAGAATAGTCCAATAATGAAGCTATGAAAGAAAAATTTTAAGTGTAATCTCGAGACTCGAGACTACACGAGACTCTCGCCGAGTCTGGTCTCGTCTCGTCGAGACTTCACGAGACGAGACCAAAAGCCAGTCTCGTCTCGAAAAGTCGAGACGAGACGAGACCAGTCTCGAGGCATCACTATACTTAATAAAGGGTTTGTAATTCTTTGTCTTGATGTTGAGTTAGTTCTTATAGTTATTTCTATGAGTTCACACGCTCTGCTTTCCTCGCTGTGTTCGATATAATAAATATATTGAATATCGATAATTTACAAGTTCTTTTATTTCTTAGTCCATTTCCCAATAATGGATACAGCAATCCCCTCTGAAATAACATACGTTCCTGTTTACAACATGAAGACGTGCTTTTTTCCATTTATCTCTTTCATAGCCTCATGAATGATATAAATTTATCTCTCTTTTGTTTCACCGTCTGAGCATGCAAGGTTAGAAGTAATAACATACGTCTTTGCTAATTTACTCAATTTTGAACATTGCCAAATTAATTAATATTGTATAAGCTTTGATATTTCTTCAAATTTCCCTCAATTATAAAATTGTGTGTTAGAAGCAAAATCACATAATAAAAATAGCATCTATTATAGATTCCAAGCAATTCAAGATTCAAAAGTAAATATCAATTATTTTATTGTAGTATTCTTATTGAAAATTATTAATGAAGGCGGTAGGGGTGATGCTTTAAATGATTTGGCAACATTGGCATTGGCAACCCTCGCTTGATTGTCAATTGTATTTATTTCTGCGTTCTGCCGGTTTTGCCCCATTTGCTTTCGATATTTCGAATGAATAGAGCAATATACATTCTTAGTTAATTTAAAAGCCATTGCAATAGAGCAACTCTGCCAGTAAAAACAGAAGCAAAAAAAGCCTAACGTATCCAGGAAGACTTGGTAGATATATGTATATTTCATTCACTTATCAATCACTTAGCATAATTGAAATATGATAATAGGAATCACTCGGCAGCATTTTTTGAACTGTAAACAATACTATTTTTCCACCAGTTTAAGTTATCATTAAATCAATTAAATGAAATACGCATCAAACTCTCCTTCTCCTTACGTAGAGTAAATGTAAACAAATGAACTTAACCTTATATTTTCTCTGTCACTCTTCCAAATTTGCCGCCAAGAGGCGATGCAAGACAAAAGAAAGATAAAGCTCATAAGAGATCTGCGTGTTAAACAAAGAAAGATGATTTAAGTATGTATATTGTCAACATAATTGTTGGTTTTCGTTGTATCCATATGTGAATAACATATTTATATGATCTAAGGTTAAACTCTGCATTCTCCTCGACCGCTGCCGTAGAAACTCCGACACAGCGTCATCTAAGTGAAAGTTCGTGTGTTGTTGGAATGCTCCGAGCCGCATTTTCGCCAAAACGTAATTACCCCGACAGTAGATACCCAAACCGTACAAGTCCCGACAAATTTGTTGGACCCGTTCCAAAACCATACAGCGTTAACACTCATGTTTGTTTATTCGGTATGGTGACTTAAAAATACATATTATTTGTTCATAATATCTAGGCAAGTCTTGAATTCTATCATGAATGCGTAATTATTCAGTTTTTCTGCGATTTGAGACAAAAAATGGTCGACAAATTTTATGCAGAGAGCCTTTATAGTAGAAAACATCGAAATCTCTATTATTCATAATGCCTCTGAGCGCATTTTTGGTGAGCTTTGATCACGAATATCTTGAGCAGTGGCAAAATACTGATGAGGACTTCTCCAGAGTTTTTTTAGAATGGGAACACAAAAATCCCGCAATAAACTGGAAATCTGTCAGGTTATGGAAATTATATGCTTAACAGTACTGGGGTACCTACTACCTACCTATACAAGAATGAAAAATGTAAGCTCAAATAAATTTCCGGATAACTGATTTTTGCCTTGACATAAGAAACATAAAACAAATAGTTTATATATTGCGATCAATTATTCTGTTACTATGTCACACAGTGAAAGGAGCTGTATTTATTTGCAACCATATTATGTAATGTTGACATTACGTGTCTTGCCGATAATCACCTGTCTCATAAACAGATTGATCATCGCTACCAAATGCGTAGACGGTACGGCCAGTGACGCGACTGTCCGCTGACCTCACCTTGTTTCCCTGAACTTACAAAAACCTACAGTGTTTCGTACTTCTCCGATAACTGCGGGGATCTTTTTTTTTGTTTTGTTTCTTTACCCCCTAGGGGGGTCGGCCTAGGTCATAAGTTCTCTCTGAAACGAGTCTACAAATTTGGTAGTCCTCATCTTAGGGGGGCCTACGGAGGTCACCGGCCATTAAAATAGGCGTAAGTACCTCTGCAGTTAGAAAGCATCAAATCCCATGGTAGGGGCGGTAGACCTACTATGTCCAAACACTGGGATCTCTAGTCGTCGAAGTTTCTATGCCACTGGACTTAGACTTTAGAACTATAGAGTACCGTGTGATTGATATCGTGCAGCAGCATTCACCTAATGATTCGAATGCCCGAGTGGGCACAGACTCCGCCTTTAGGAATGGCACCATTGGCAACGATGGAATAGGCAAAAGATAAACTACTACTGACCAAATGCTCAAAGCACGATCTCGTCATCACAGACACTCTCTTTCATCGAAAGAATAAGGCAACGTGGCAACCTCCAAGATCAAAGCACTGGCACCTCATCGAATAGGTACAGTGAAAATCATTGCAATTGGCACATACTCTTTTAACATCCCCCCTCGTATTAGGTCAAAATTCTAACCAATAAATCTATTCAGTGCAGCGGTGTACATAATATGTTTATCATTTTTATCAACAATATAACAGTACAACATTACCCCGCAGAAGCATAACCATGTAACATACCAAATCAACATAGAAATCAAGAACCAAACCTAATACAAAATCATGAATTAAACTTAACCCTAAATTGCTAAGCATAAATATTTTCGTCCTTTAAAAGTTTATTAAAACTATTATGTTCACCACTGATTTATCAATTTGACACGATTTTGACATTAACTGTATGTCAAAGAAGTCAAATTTTGACGCATTACGGGGGATGTTTATAAAGTGTGTGCCAATTGCAATGATTCTCACTGTACGTTATTGTGCGCGCCAAAGACAAAGTGACGTGAAAGTAACCAGAGCTATAAACCATGCTGATGATATCTGTAATGTCTCTATAAGTACCACCAAAACAATGGAAACAACCATACGACACAAAAACAAACTTCCAGTTCCTACTGAATGAGAATTTGTTTGTTAAATATCCTGACGATATCTAGCAGCACTGGTCAACGCTGACAGCCGTCCAAGAATCAACAGGCTTTATGACAAAGAGACATCATAATTGATTTGATGGTGTGGTTGCAAATGAAATAGTATACAAACCTAGGAGGGAAGTTTTAATTTCTGTCTCGAGATTAATTGTCAATCTCGGCGCTTCGCGTCTCGATTTACTATATAAATCTGTCCAAGGTAATAGAATACTTCCCTTCTCGGTGTGTAATGTACTATCCCTAACTAACCAGAAACTCTAGACAAGCTCAATATAGAAATAACAACGAGTTCAAAAACTCGTTCGCAATATGATTTTTTTTAACCAAGAAGTAGCTACCACGATTAAACCATCTTCCAGCCCTAAAACTGTATGGCACTGGACTCAACAATTATATTATGCAACCTGACAAGATGAGCCCTAAGTGTAAACTGATATCTTGTTTTAAAAGAGCATATATGACACGAAAACTTTGGAGGCTTCTGACACTCGTACTTCTTATGTCGAGTTAAGGATACTAAATTCATATATTTTTTCTTACAGTCAACGCACTCGAAAGTTTTTTGCTCCAAATTTCTTGAAGGTCCAGCTGTAAGCTCTAAAGTATTTTCTTCCAAAGGTTTTTTGGTAGGAATATTTAGGTCTTGGTATATTGGTCCTGATAATTGTGATTCTTCCTTTGGTGATAGTAGTCGTAATGGCGGTGGTGGCAATGCTGATGAAGCTCGAATAGATGACCATGTAGATTCGGATTGAGCTGGTTCAGGAGGCGATTTTCTCGAAACAAGACATATAACTCTTGTATCAATACTATCATTGCTGTTATTATTGGTCTCTAAAATAAAAGCAAAATAAAAATCCATTGGTAGCTACTTAAATAGTTTCCTATAAAAAACATTGCATAAAAAATTCTTTGAAGCAGCAAGTAAAAAATTAAAGGGTGACTCTTTAATTAAGATGACAAATATGAACACCTAGCACCGATGACACATATAATGAAAAAAGCAATGTTAATAAAATACCATATTTTCCTATAAATAAATAATTTATTGTCGACAAAATAAACAAAAACTTTCACCCTCAAAGTTGACAAAAAATTGTATCAAATTTAATACAATTCTTGTCAGTTTTCAACACGAAGTTTCCTTATCAGATGTCGTTTTAGGTGGTGATTTTTATACTATGATGCACGTATTTTCCATCTAAACAATTTTGAGCTTGATGGTTTATCTGGAACAGATGTGTGTAATACCAGCGTTACATTTACCGCGTTCAAAAGTAAGTATGTAGGTATTCACGATTCATCATGACAGTAAAAATTTAAATACATACTTGAATTTTTCTGTATAATGGGGAACATTTCTATTTTTTGTCAATGTTGGAGAAGAGGAGGTGGAGAGAATCAAAGGAAGTGAAAATTATGACATTTCACCTTCTCTTGACAAGTTGACAAGATTTGAAGATTAACCAATCAATATTAAGTTTGTTGAATAAATATTGTTGATGACGGCTCGATAACACCATTTAAATTTTTGTCTATATTAACTGTTGCTGCCTTTCTGGTAGGCGAATCGTACCAGGACCTACAGTTTAACCTGGGGCTTCCGGAGCTATTCTAGTCATGATGAGTTACACAGAAACTTTAGGCCTGTACCGAGATGTGTCTTGGAGCACTACTTACAGGTTATTTTCACGATGCAACTCACAGTCCCTAAACTACATGATCATGGTATGTCCGATACCATTTTTTTTTACGTTTATTCTTACTGAAAATTTCGTGACAGTCAACTGACAGTTTTCAAATCAACTTAAATGCGCATGTCTTTTTCTGATCAGTTCTAAACATGTTGTAGGAACAGCTGACAACTGACAGCTGATCAAAATGATAAAAGTTCTGAATCAACAAATTCACTGTTCGTTTTCACAAAATTAACTTCAAATACACAAATAATGCAATAGGGGCAATGTAAATAATTATCATAAATTATGTATAATCGAAACAACACGCAAAAAGGTTGGTCATGTTGAAATTTTCTAATGCGCATGCTATAGCGATTTTCAGTAAACCACAATATCCATACCCCTTTCTCCGGGGTGTTAAATAATATACACTGTAAAGTGCGTAACTACTCAAATTGTCAAAATTAACTTTACAGCTGACAATATAAAGTAACTATATCCTTTAAAATTTCACCAACCAAATTTGGCTGGTAAAGTTGTTGGAGTATGACAAACAAATATATTCTAACCTTACCAAACTTAAATCAAGTAGGTAAGTGCGCATACGCTTTATTTTTCAATTCGACTTGGATCCAATCACTGTATGCATGCCAAAATCAAAATCAAGTTAATTTAAAGTCTGACATGACCCCAGAAAAACATGAATCGACCTTGAGACTCAAATCGATTTCAATAAGTACCTGTTCGTAGTGATTAAGGTATACTTACACTCCTTGCTAGATCCACAGCTTCTGCAAACTGTTCCGACAGTTTGAATGAAAACTTTCAGTAAAACGTGTGGTAAAAGCATTCCGAGTATTTTCAATTATAAACTTTGTGGGAACAAGAATATTGGAGTGCGTAAATTGAAACGACAGGAAAATCAAACCAGAGTATTTCGAGCGAGATTTCGAGCAAATATAATGTCGACCTCCAGCTACCACGTAGTGACTTGTTAGATTCCTTTGATGGTTCTCATCCTTTTACCACAGTGCCCCAATCAGAAACTATTGGCACAGGCGAGGGCACAGGACATTTTGAAAGGAAAAACAAATGGCACTAATGTCACATCCGTAATTTCTTTCCTGAGTCCTTGCTTTCACAGAATTTTCAACAATAAATTCTATCAGCTGATGGCTTGGCCATGGATAATTGCCTCTCGCCTTTGATATATTTTGCTCGAAATATTCTGGTTTGATTTTCCAGATCCTTCAACGAGCAACACAACCACTCCCTCGATTTAAAAAAAATATAAGTACCAGGAGCATTTCATAATTTTTTAACTTCACATTTGTAGGTGCAGCTAAGCTGTGTATAAGATGATCAATTTTTTGTGAAAAAGCTTTCCCTTTAAAAACAAAATATGTTTATACCTTACGCTACTTCACTATTGAATAACCAGGCTAAAAGTACCTTTAAAATGATCTTTTATTTGAATCGTAATTTGCAATAAGGTTTTAGCCTAGCAGGTAAAAAGTATTTAAACATGCAAAAAAAGTTTCTTAGTGCTTTATAAGTACTTGAAAATCAAATAAAAGCGTCAATTTTTCGAAAGATATAAATACTAGGTTTTATTGGTAAACACTGGTAGAAAGGTACAAAAAAGCTAAAAAATCAGTCAACGGTTATTATATACAGGGTACGATTTCACAGCAATTATCAATAAATAAGTTCGGTTTATAATCCTGGCAACATATTTTAATAATATGAAAATGTGGGTTAATTCTCCTCGCTTTTCCATGCGCAAACGCGTTTCGATCTAACAGATCTCATGAGTGTGGCTAGGAAAGCAAAGAAAACCAATCCAAGTTTAGTGCCTGTAGGCAAATAGGAGAAACTTCTTTTTATTATTTGGGTTACCCCAACTAACTGATTTTTGGTCGGCGTATTGACGATCAGTACTAATACAGCAAAATGTTGTTTAGTGCTATATTCTAGTCTTAGATGGCGCCACGACCTAAAGTCTCCAATCATACATTAATAATGTGTTAGATGATTCAAAGCATTTCTTCCAACAAAATGCAGCGCTATATGCCTCTTCAAATTGTCATTTCTGTGGCATCTATGAAAACAATGTGGACACTGCAATTTTTTTTCTCTGCCACATTCTTTCCTATGCCTGCACAAGCTTTCGGGGTTTTTGTAACTTTTGCCGCACATCGCGCAATAAAACCTTCTAACATCTAAAATTTAAAGAGCAAGAACATTAAAATCAAACCTATGGTACATTTTGCAATGTACAAGATGCAGTTAGTCTACTACTTCTTTTACCTAAATAATTTTTTTCAATGCAGTTTTTACGCACATTAATTTAATAATTAGGTGTTGATACAGCTTAATGAAAAGATTTTGGCACGCATTGTATCTAATAAACTTACTACACACACACTTTACGTTCACCATATTCTCAGGGAAGTAGTCTATATTAAAAGCGCCCCATTTGCAGCCATTTCTGATGCTATGGTGAACGTGACTAAATATAACTTGGACAAATAGAATCAGTTCATTAGAAGTTCAAAATTCCATGGATATTTTTCAAATGATGCTGCAGAATATCGTTCCTTTTACATTTCCTGGGACACAATGGACACTGAATCACCGGTTGCGGTGCTCCGCACTCAAAAAGTATGTGACTCATTACCAATTGCTTTGTGATATATTTTTTGCCACATTTATGGCACAGGAATTTGTCATCTTCAGTAGGAACAACTAAAAAGTACCACGGTGGTTAGTGCTGGGAACTGAAAACCAAAATTCAGAAGAAAAAAAAAATTACATACCTACAAATAATATCAGAGAATTAAAATACTTATGTACGGATACACTTACTTAAACTCACGTTGATGAAAGTAGGGAATAATTAAAACTCCTTATGGACACACGTGAAAACGATAATACCCCCACAGAAAATTTGTATTAACTAGTAATTCATAATTTTAATGCTCTGAGAAAAAATTGTGGAAAACAAATTTGCAAAATCCATAATATTGAAAAAAATCACCATTGCCCTACAAGATATAATATTGAAATTTGCCAATGACAGGTTTCTTTTCCCTATTTGAGAAGTATCCTACTGAAAGCAGGTACTTTTGGTTAACACACTTAAAACACCTACGTATCGCTACCCATCTTCTGTCATATCAACAATTATAGTGCAGATTACCATCAAGATAAGAATTTAAAACCTTTAGGTACTTAGAAGTAGCTTCATACTATATCAGATCAAGCCTCATACAATTCTGAAATTTACAAACGCAGCATCAAAGAAAGCTAGAGAACAATCTCGCTGTAGAAGGCTCTGAACTTCATTCAGAAAAGCTGTAGTCCTATATTTGATCAGCTATATACAATTTATGTGGATTTGGGTAGTATCATGCCCTTCTTGCCAACCGCGATATTTTTTCTTTTTCGGATGATTGGTGTCAATTTTAAAACTTACAACAAAAAAAAAAAATCTATGAAAACAATTTCTATAATAGGGAGGGGGAACCAAAATGATGTAATAACCAACCTGTTTTCACTTAGCCCCTCACCCCCAGCCACCACAACTAAATAATCTTAAATAGCAACCCCCTACTTGTGATAACTTATCTGAAAGCTCTTAAAAAATATTTTTCAATGGTATACCAACCTAAAAATGTTTCCATAAAGCACATCATTTTACTAGTTTTTATATTGCTTCGCTTATATAGACGTCACAGTCTAGGTGCATTATAATTACAATATATTGAGGTTATTAATTTGGCTTATGGAATTTCTAGTGTATCTTGAGTGTATGCTGATTTGAATAGATAAATAAAAAATAAATAAAAACTCGGCTTAAGGGCGGCGAGATCAATTGTTAGTTAAGTTCTTGTTAGCAAACAATAGCCTCATATTGTGCCACACGAAAACAATATTATATTGACATTGACACAATCTATGGTTTTTGTTAACTAACAAGGATTTTACCTAACGATTTATCAAGTCGCACTAAATGTGATAGAACTACATTACGAGTTAGTTACAACGAACATCACTGCAGAATAAATTTTGAAGAAGGACGGCACACACGATTTCATAAGCGGGCTGGGATTGCGCATCTAAATATTTACGAACCTAATATGAGGTTATGTTGAACATTAAGAAAGCTGATTTAAAAAGT